TGAGAGGCCAAGCTGCAGTCAGTGTAAGGGCTGGTTTGTTTCAGTTTCACCCTTAATCCCAGGGGGCCACCATTCAGGGTCCTATGAATATGGGGTATGGTTACTAAGGTTCCCCAACAGTGATGCCAAGAAAAACACAGTTCACTCTCAGCTGCTATGCGTGGATTCTGGACTTCCTTTCCCTTCTGGATCTTTACTGAATAATTCTTCATTGACTGGTCAGCTCTTCGACATTTTAAATGTTTGTATCTTACCCAGTTTTTTGTTTTTACTTTTAGCAGGTGAGTTTGTTTAAATTACATACCCTCTTATACTGGAAGTCCCCCAAAATGACTGTGGGGAGAGTTCAAATTACTGATTCAAGTCTTGTAATGATTATAGTATTTTTCATTTTTCTATGGTTTTTTTAGAGATCATTTTGGTTAAGATGTGCTCATTGTCTCAGCTTTCAAATTTATTGATATAAAGTTAATATTCTAAAAAAAAATCTCTGCTCTATTTAGTTATGTCCTCTTGGTCATTCCTAAAACTGTTTATTTGAGCTCTTTCTCTGATCACTTGGTTTTGTTGTTTCTATTTTGTTTTCTATTTCATTAATTTCTGTGTTTTTTTATGTCCTGTCAGCTTGCTTTTTGAACTTCAGTCATACGTTAGTATTTTCTAATTTCAAATGATTTATTTGACATATTATTTAGAAATTTAAACTGTTTCTAAACTTGGACCTTTTAGCTATCCTTTCAGTTGCTGCTTTCTGACAACTATGTTGATTGTGAAATGATCCGCATGGGGCTGATTCTTTGAAATTTGATGATGTCTTTTCATAGCATGAAATGTTTTCATAAATGTTCCTTTTGTGTTTAAAAGGGTATGCAATCTTATTTTGTACTCAGGGTTCTACATATGTGTATTTGATTAAGTTTGATTTGTGTTCTGACTATAGGTCTTTAACTGATTTTTTTTTTAATTGGGGAATGGTGTTTTTGTTTTGTCTTTTTTTAACTGGGAAACAGTGTGTTTTTCCAGGACCCATCAGCTCCAAGTCAAGTAGTTGTTTCAATCCAGTTGTGGAGGGCCTGGGGATCAAACCGGTAACCTTGGTGTTATGAGTACTGCGCTCTAGCCAACTGAGCTAACCGGCCGCCCTAACTGATTTTTTTTTTTAAAGATTTTATTGGGGAATTGGGGGAGGGGAACAGTGCTGGGGAATCAGGGGAAGGGGAACAGACAAGTTGCTGTCCTTTTGTTCTTCAGTCTAGTTGTGGAGGACGTCGCTTCACTGGCCCGTTAGTATTATCATTGCGCTCTTCCCAGGTGAGGCAGATTGGTCACCAGCCTCTGGATGGCCGCTCACGGCGGCTCTTGGCAGGTCACACCGGCTGCTGGCCACTCACGCTGGCTGCCAGCCACACATGCTAGCTTTTTTGGCAGCCCACTGCAGCCCCGCTGCAGCCCATGCCGTCACTGGCGACTCACGGCAGCCCAGCTCCAGGTCGAGCTGTTGTTCAGCATCTTAGCTGAAGAGGGCAGTGTCACTGGCCCTCATGTGGGATCCGAACTGCAGCCCTGCTGCTCAGAGCTGGCATCCCAAGCCAGCTCTTAACCAACGCACCACTCGGCCGGCCCCCTAACTGATTTTTTTAACTACTTGATCTCCAAGGTATATTAAAATATCTACCGTGATGGTGATGTTGTCAATTTGTCCATGTAGTTCTCTACAGTTTTGCTTTATATTTTTTGAAATTCTCTTACTGAGCACATATAAGCTTAAAGGATGAATCAAACCTTCAATCATTGTGTAGCATCTTTGTTAAAACAGAAAATGTTACTACAAAGTCTACTTACAGCTACGGGAACTTCCTTTCTGTATTTTTCTATCTCTTGGCTCTCAAAATCTCTGTATCTTTGTTTTAGATGCATTTCTTTAAAAAGCATATATAGTGGATTGTTAAAAATTTAGTCTAATGCCCCAAGATTTTTGCAGAAGAGTTCAATCCATTTGCAATTGGAATTATCGCTACCATATTATTAAGTGCTTGTTTGTCCTATCCACTTACTTCTCCTGTGTCTCTATTTGTTCTTTTTCTCCCTCATTTTCCTTTTGTGTCCTCAACATACATTATTGGAACGTGCACCGTTTCTTTTAAAAGCAGCTCTTCAAATTGTCAAGTTCATACTTAAGTCTAAAGTTGGTCCATACATTTCCTCTCCTTCAGAATACAAGGTCATTAGACTAATATCATTTCAATTTCCAGCCTTACATGCATTAGGCTTCCAGGCAATTGGTTATCTAGAATTTTTCCTTTATATTGTGCTTTCCTCCAGCAAATTAGACATTATTGTTTTATGCTATCACTATTTCTTTAAATTTACTCACGTGCTTACTATTATCTTTACTATTACTTCTTACATCTCAGACCTTCTGGGATAATTTTCTTCTTCCTTGAAGTATATCTTTTAGAAGTTCCTTTAGGAGGCAATTTTGGTGATAAATTCTCCATTCTTTTTTCATCTGAAAATATCTTTATTTCACCCTCATTCTTATAGCAGAGTGATCTGAATCAAAAATTTTTAAATGGTATTACTAGTACAGCATTTGATGGCTGAAAGCTGAAAACTTTATATATACAAAGGAAGTAATAAGGTAAGCACTATCTTAATTTTGCACAGCATTTATCAGATGAAGGTGTGAAATATCTTCCATATGCATTTTTCACTAGATTCTCACAATTGTCCTGAGTTTACCTGTAAGAAAAGTATCTTAGCATACCCATTTTTTTTCTTTTTAATAGGAAAATGGGTTAAATTTTCTAAGGTTTGTAATGATTCTCATTATTCTTTTGGTTCCATCCAACACTCCTGGTATCTGCAACCTAGGATATGCTACTTCAATCTCTTTCTTCTTAAGCCTGCTTCTTTCCACAAGTACGTATTAAAATTTCCAGTGTTCAAGAAATCCCATTGGTATAACTTTCAGTTTAAAAGAATTTTTTTTAACCAGGATTCTTAATTCCTTCCAGCATGTCGGATAACAAATCTTTTTAAGATAACTAAGTCTTTGGTCTGACACATTAATATATAATTAATCATTTAAGCTAATATAAAAGTTCATTATTTTTTAATCATGTTCCAGAAGAATAAGTTATAAATCTGTGAATAACAGTCCATTAAATTAACACTTCATTTATACAGAAGAAAAATGGAAAATCCTATCATATTCAAGGCTAGAATCCTGCTAAGAGTTGCTAAGTTTTTCATCTACATCTGTAAAACACAAACACACACACACACACACACACACACACACACACACACACACGTGACCAGAGTGCAAAGCTTAATAGGGACAGTAACTGAATTGTCATATCTTTTCTTAACAGCTAAAAGGAGAAGTACTCTAGAGTAGAGCAAAAGATTCTGAATCTTAATGACCACCCACTCTTATTACGGGGGAAAAAATAAGCATATTCTGGGCCGGCCAAGTGGTGCGTTGGTTAAGAGCTGGCTTGGGACGCCAGAGGGCCCCGGTTCGGATCCCACATATGAGGGCCAGTGACACTGCCCTCCACAGCTAAGATGCTGAACAACAGCTCAACCTGGAGCTGGGCTGCTGTAGGTCGCCGGCCACGGAGTGGGCTGCAGTCCCTTGCTGCAGTGGGTTGCCATGGGCTACCGTGTGTAGCCAGCAGCTAGCGTGAGCGGCCAGCAGCCGCAGTGAGCGGCCGTCCAGAAGCCGGCGACTGATCTGCCTCGCCCGGGAAGAGCACAATGATGGTGCCAACTTGGGCCAGTGAAGCAACGTCCTCCACAACTAGAATGAAGAACAAAAGGACAGCAACTTGTCTGTTCCCTTTCCCCAATTACCCAGCGCTGTTCCCATCCCCCAATTTCCCAATAAAAATCTTAAAAAGAAAAATAAGCATATTCTCCCAAAATACAAATACATATTTACAAATTACTTATGTGTGACATGTTGCACATAACAAAATACACAAAAATATAAATTGAAAAAGGGTGAACTGTCGATAAAATACATAATATTTAAAAATATTTTAAATTGCATTAATGGCAAAATAACATTTATAGAGGGCCTACAGGTGCATGGCTGTGAATGACAGTCATGTGACCCAATGTAATTTAACTTGATTCCCAATCAGACTGCCATCATTTTTAGAAGAGCAAATGATGGACCTAGAAGAGCTGCTAGTCGGATGACTTTTTACTGTCCTCTGACAAGTTGGTTCCCCCTCACCCTGCAACCAAAATAGTTCCTAGACAAGGACTTGTCATTCATTAGGCAGACAATCCCAGGAGGTCCCATAAGAGAGTGGGGAAGCGAGAGGGAAGAGTGGAAGGTAAAGGGCCAGGCTCAATCTGAATGTCAAATATTGGAGTAATTTCACCTTTTCTTGGATTAACATGTATAAATAGTTCTACAACTGTCTTTCTCCACCACAATACATTATCTTCTGTGCCCCTGAGGTGCATGCCCCCATCCGGCCATCACTGGACCAAAGGACATATAGCCTTGCCCAGCTCTCAGCTGAAAATGACCCAACTCATTTCAGGGTATGTCAGGACTCTTCTAAATGGGTAAGAAAATACTAGCAACATGCCGTTCTAATATAGTTTTAGCATTTGTCTATCGCTTAACAAAGAGGTGATGGAAACTTCAAAACTATCTTCGGAGCATTCCTTGAATGGGTATCTCATTTCCCTATGTTTAAAAAATTACACAGAAACCCAACTAATGCAACTCCACCTTGGAATTCAACACAACTAACTCAGATTAAAATGCTCTAACTTCCTATGGTTCTTGGTGTGAAAGGCAGAGGGGTGGGTAGCCGCCTTGCTTTTACCCCTTTCGCACAGATAACCACTCTACAGAAACATTTTCCAAAGTCACAGCTTCCTAAAGGAGTTACATATGAGAAATCAGAAATGCATTTCAACTTTCCTAAACAAATAAGTACTTAACGGAATTCCAGAAATGAGACACAAAGTTATAAAAGTCTATTTTATTTAGGCTGAAATGTGTATATTATTTATTTAGTTTTAAAACAAGCTTAATATACAGTTTAATTGTTAATATCAATTTATCAATCTTCAGTGACCTAGGAACATTCTGAGGTTGTATTGCTTTAGTTTAAGAAATCCATTCTATGTAGAAATACTGTTATGTTAATTCCCTTAGAGTTTAAAACTTAAGAATTGAATCACTTCCACCTATTACAGACTTCTTAAAACTTACATAATATCCCACAAGACTATTTTGATACATATCAACAAAACTCAACCCCACTTTCTCCAATAATAAAACAATGGGTTTTTAAATTGTTACTTTTTAAATGACGCGAAACTAAAGAAAACTGGGTGCTGGTTTTAGACTCGTCTTTGGAGAAAAACATTCTGTGCTTTACCACTTGTTGCCATGCCTTGCACAGATAGGGTCTGTAGTCGACGTGGGTATCCCTCGGATGGCTAAAGGCAGAGCAAGGCCCTTCTGCTGCGTCTGAGGTTTTCTGCATTATACTTTGTGTGGTTGCAAAAAGAACCAAGCGGTATGCAATGACAAGTTTCTCTAAGAGCTGAGAACACTTCTTCAGGGTAGACTCCTGCAAGTTAACGCTTTCTCCTCCATTGGCACGGTCTATCCAGTAAAAAGCCGACAGGCTGTCCACAATCAGAAGGCAGAGAGAGGGGTGACTACAAAACGTAGATTCTAGTGAGTACAGTGTGAGCAGTAGCTGGGTGCTGCTACTGCAGTGGACCAAAAAAAGCCTTTCGAGGCAGCGTTTTATGACTTCTTCACAGCTCTCGGATAGTCTATGCTCGAGAATTGTAACAAGCCGAAGCATATCAAAGTGGTAATCTGTGTCAATAAATACGACTTCTACTTCCAGTCCACCCTCTGATTTTGGCAGTATACAGCGTGCCGTTAAATGATAAAGCATTTCAGTCTTTCCAGTTCCTTCTGGACCATGAAATTCAAGAATATCACCTGTGTAAAATTTAAAAATGGCAGTCAAAATGCAGCAGCACAATAACAGTACGCTACAAGATGAAAAGTCTGCAAAAATGTTTAAGACATTTACTGGAAAGTAAAAGACAATCTAAGTCCATTTGTCAAAAGCAAATACAAACGAACAAGGAACTAAATCATTAAATTTCACCCCTGAGACAGGAGTTAGCTATTAATTAGCATCAAGAAAATTTGAAAAACAGAATGACAAGGCCGAGAGGGGCCTAAAGGGAATCTCCTGGGGATGGGTCCACTTCTACTAGTGACATTAGAGAGTTAAGAATAAAATGTCACAGATCTAGGGCCTTTCGAAGCTCTATTGATAACTATGGTAATACGACGTCTGGTAACTGATTACCCCATATCCATTCTCTCCTTTTTCCTTAAATATAAAGCCCCAATTGGGGAAGGCAACATGACAACTTAAAAATAATGTTTCTCCGTCTCGCTTGCAAAGAGGATTCACCAGTATCTCAGCTGTAGAAAGTGAGACCCACACAGATGTCTGCCAGGATTTCTAGTTTTGCTTTCCTGATGCAGGTGCCACTCTGCTCTGCCACTCCCTTCTCTGGAGGTGAGGTAGCCATCTTGAAACAGTGAGGAGGTAACAGGGGCTCCGAGGAGGGGGCTCTCAGACAGGAGGCACCCAGGACTTTGATCACAATACAGGATCCCAGACCAGTTACGCACAGCCTGCCTCAACACCGCTTTCGATATGAGGAAAACAGCCTCAATCTGGTAAGCCACCAGGCTGGACTTCTGTTCCATGCAGACGCAATAACCCGATTAGGGCTTCTCGACGTTACAGGTGTTATGAGGAGAGCCATTATGAGGAACTGCATTGACTGTGCACTTCTGGGGCAGCTGGAGGCAAGGGCTCTCAGGGCCTGAATGCCAACAGCACCCCTGTGCTGAAAACACCCCCCACGTTTCCAGGTTGCCTTCAATTCTTTGCTGTACAGATCCCTCTTGAAACTCTGTCCAATTAGAATGAGATCAGCATTGTGGATTATTCTCTTAGCATTATAAATCCAAGTCAACTGCTGTGAACTTTGAGGACGCTAAATCTCTTTCTACCTAGCTTCCAATAACTCTCTTTCAGGGAGGATAGCGCAAATTATCATAAATAAAGCACTGGGGAAACTGTCCTGCCTCCAGGGCTTTTCAAACTCTGCTCGAAACAGTGGCCTTCCAATTCTTGCTAAAATTAAAACTCGCTAAAATTGTTGCCCTTTAATTTATGGCTAAACCATATAATTGAACATTGTTAAAATGCAGATTCTTAGGCCCCAAACAAATTTCGTAGACTGAGAATCCAGTTACAGTATTTCCTGTTATTACTAATAAACAATTATATGTTGGAACATTCACAAATAATGTGTAAGAAATCTAGCAAGCTGTCACCATACTATATTTAAGGTAGCATAAATCTTCAGCCAAATTCTTCCACAATCTTACACGCAATTTGCAATTCAAAGTTGACATGAAAAAGATTCTCCTTTGCACCCAGCCTCAAAGAGTGAAACTATTTCCACATCAACAATTGTTCATGGATGCTCTTATTAAAAGTTAACGTAGTGCCTAAAACTATATTCCACCCACATGTTCAGTTTACTCTCTCCTACCTTATTACTGAGGTGCTAAGCTGCCCCCAAGTAAAATCTTTTACTGCCTTATATTATAGGAGAATAAACTACCTGCACTAGAGGAAGAAACGTTAACATAGAACCAATATTAATGGGGGTGAAGGCAAGTTGAAAACACAGCTGTAGCGAGATATATGCGAAAGCGGTTTATAGGACACAATGAAAGGACCATGCAGAAACCTGGCGAGGAAACTAAGCACACGGCACCAGATCTCCCCAGAAAAGCAGGCAGAAGAGGCTGGTCAGCAGCAACTGGCCTTTCTATAGTATTAATACTTGACAAACGGAGAGGAACTCCTTCCCAACAGCACGCTGGGTCCGAAGGCCCACCCTGAGGTGGGAAAGCAAACTTGATCATCTCCCGTGATCCCATCCATCACGCCACATAATTCTGTCTATTTACTTGATGACATTTCCTGATGGCTACTTCAAGGCTGGCACTGGAATACGTGATCCCCAGCACAAAACACGCATCTTTTTAATGCATTTCATCAGATTACTTTCTTCTTAAGAACGCCTTAAGCAACATCTGAAGAATGAAAATGTAAGTCCTGATTAGGGGAGGGTTAGAGGCCCAAAGGGCAAGTTTGGAAAATGGCATTTTGAAAGGAAGCAGGTCTAGTAGGGAGTCACAGGTGAGGGGGTTGGGGCGGGGCTGTGGTTAGCAGAGTCCAGCAGGTGTGAATGCCTGGGTCCCAGGCCTGAAACAAGGGACTAACACAGGAGACGAAGCCAGAATAGAGCAAATGGCCCAGTGCTAGTCCAGCCCCTGCCTGCTGCCCCCACCCAAGTCCTGCCGACACTTCGTTTCTGTCAGGACTTCAGCCCTCTCCCCTGATTCAGAAGGTGAGAGTGGTGATTTAAAAGTTCTACAAAGAGATAGGCTTGGAAGTACCCATAGAAATCAAGTACATAAGCAAAGTAAGGATTTTCAATTCACATAATTCATGTAAATATCCTAACATGAATTTAGTTTTCAAAATGGTATGTTGAGACCTATCTCTAGGAGTCACAAAATAAAAATGTACGGAGCTAATTACCAGTTAGCTCAGGTGGTTAGAGCACAGGCTCATAACACCAAAGTTGCCAGTTTGATCCCCATATGGGCCACTGAGCTGCGTCCTCCACAACTAGATTGAAACTACTATTTGACTTGGTGCTGATAGGTCCTGGGAAAACATACTGTTCCCCAATAAAAATCTTTAAAACAAAAATTTTTTTAATAAAAAATGAAAACGTCCTACAGCCACTAGGATTTAAGATTTAAGACAGTAATAAAGAGGCTGGATACAGAGATCTGGGAGAACGCGGCATGGAAACAGAAGAGAAACTCTTTTAGGTGGGTGGGAGTGAACTTAAAGTTAAGAATGGAAACCAAAAGCTCAATGCTTGGGATACAACTACAGTTAGAGAAGTCAGATAAAACAGAAATGTAATAGAAAAACCAGGAGGAAAAAGGACACAGAGCACAAAATAAGGTTTCAAGAAAACGAAATACTGCTAAATAATACTAAATGCAATGGAAAAGCTCTAACAATGAAAAAATGGCAGGGGAGAGGTAGGGAACAACAGATCACTGAATTGGTCCTGGATAGTGACCTTAGAGTAGTAAATAAAAGTACATTTCATATAAATACTATTTTATGAACCAAACTTCAAAAATGGAGATACCGGAAGACAGACTGAAAAGGCAGTGCAGGAACACTCACTGATTCTTAGAGAACAGCGAAAATGGAGATCAGATGACAGGAAGTCAGCGGCTACAGGGGGAGTTAGAAAAAGGGTACAATGGTTCACGCTCATATAAACCGTAAGGAAATTCAATAGCAGTTTCATGAGGCTGGAGACTCAAATGAAGATAATTTAAGGTAAGAGAAATGTACCATATTCTGAGGTAAAAGGGAAGGGATTTCATAGGGCGATAAAAACACATGATCCCAGTCAGAGGTAACTGTGAGATATTCTCTGGAATTCTCAGGAGAGGAAAACAATGAAAATTTTGCCAAGTATTTTTTGGAGAGAGGGGTGGTGTCCATAAACATCTTTCAGCATAACTCAAAAACACAGGTCCTGAGAGCACTCTCCTACATGGTTTAACAAGGCTTTCTAAGTCCAGACATCAACTAGGAGATAGCTGATGTCCTAACGGATTCTTTACAACCTGGGTTCGGCAGGAATGCAACAGAGGCAAGCTTTAAGGTCAAGTCCTTGGTTTAGAGGTTATTAGGTACACAAAGATACTCTTCTCCTTTTACAGGTTAATAAATAGCAAAACTGGTAAAAAGGTCATTTATAAAAAACTGGGGAAGTAAAATCTGCAAATTACACCGAATATTATCATTAAGGGCTACATTCCCTGCAAATATGCTTAATGGTGAATTGAAATCAGTTTCACTGATTTTTATAAACACTTACTGCCTAATCAGAAGACCAAAAATCATATTCAAATATTATGTTTCATTGAGGGGCACAGTCCTTTTAAGTGTATTTGAAGTCACTAGCTCATGTTTCTGTGAGCTGTTACAAAAAATTGCACCCTGTCCAGTCAAAGTACTGAGTATGGCAACTTGTAGTGGAGAAAAAAAAAAAACCTCTACAGTTTGGCACTTGACAAATTAAACTAAATCAGGAAACCTGGATGATTTGGCTTTGATAATTATTCTCACAAATAGAATACTGTAAGGGGTTTGGGTAACAGATTGCCACAGTGAGTTTATGAATCTAAAGATCCTTCAAAATAAGGAAAAGAAAAAACAGCCATAAAATATATCCTCTTGATACTAACCTACTAATTGTATAACAAATACGTTGAATTTGCAGATTACAATCTTAGTACTGAAGAGGTAATAAATTGTTACATGGTACCGAGTAACTGCTAACCAAAAAAGCATTAAAGGGCCGGCCGAGTGGCGCGATGGTTAAGAGTTGGCTTGGGATGCCAGAGGGCCCCGGTTCGGATCCCACATATGAGGGCCAGTGACACTGCCCTCCGCAGCTAAGATGCTGAACAACAGCTCAACCTGGAGCTGGGCTGCTGTGAGTCGCCAGGGACGGCGTAGGCTGCAGCCCCTGTGGCAGTGGGTTGCCATGGGCTACCGTGTGTAGCCAGCAGCCAGCGTGAGCGGCCAGCAGCCGCAGTGAACGGCCGTCCAGAAGCCGGCGATTGATCTGCCTCGCCAGGGAAGAGCGCAATGATGGTGCCAACTTGGGCCAGTGAAGCAACATCCTCCACAACTAGATTGAAGAACAAAACAACAGCAACTTGTCTGTTCCCCTTCCCCCAATTCCCCAGCATTGTTCCCATCCCAATTCCCCAATAAAAATCTTAAAAAAAAAAAAAAGCATTAAAAACATGTTTACAACAGCCTTAGAAACTCCTATAACCCCTAAATCTCTGATTGTTTCTATCTGAGCTTCTCTATAACTATTTCTGATAAATTACTGTTGTTAAAGTAATCTTTATAATCCCAGTCTTATGCATGCTATTGCTCTAATGAGCACTCATCTAACTAGCTTAACAGGTTTAAGCTCTATGATAGTTTTAAGTAAACTTGGTTCACGACTGAACAAGATGGTGTTTTTAAAATTTCTATAAATGTAATATTCAAATGTATAAGCTGTGCTACAAAACCATGTTTCAAAGTCAGTTTCATAAGGTTCAACTTAATAATATCCTTTCTGACAGAAAAAACAGAAGACAGTTCAATATTTGGTCTAACATGTTTGATCAAAATTTGTCTTTTATTATTGATAGTTTAGAATTTTATTTGCTAATAGATCTGCTCCACAAGAAATAAAGGGAAGCCTCCAGGCTGAATAAAAGGATAGTACACAGTAACTTGAATCCAACTGAGTTAATAAAGAACACAAGTAAATGTAACTACACAACTAAATAGAAGACAGTCTAAATGTGTTTTATATTTGTAACTTTTTTCATCTAAGAAACAACTGCATTAAGTAATAATTTCAATTATAATTTTAAATGTGAACATACAATATATAAATATGTAATTGGTAACAGCACAAAGGGAAGGGGAGAGAATGGAAATATATAGTAGCAAAGTTTTTATAAAATATTAAAATTAAGATGGTATTAATCCAGGGGGTGGTAGATGAGGGTAAACAGGATCAAATATATGGCGATGGAAGGAGAACAGACTCTGGATGGTAAACGTGCAGTGTGATATATAGATGATGTATTACAGAACTGTACACCTGAAACCTATGTAACTTTACTAACAATTGTCACCACAATAAACTTTAATTAAAAAAAAAAAAAAGATAGTGGGCCACCCGAGGGGCGTGTTGGTTAGGAGTTGGCTTGAGATGCCAGCTCTGAGCAGCAGGGCCCCAGTTCGGATTCCACATGCGGGCCAGTGACGCTGCGCCCTCTACAGCTAAGATGGTGAACAACAGCTTCACCTGGAGCAGGGCTGCTGTGAGTCGCCGGCTACGGCGTAGGCTGCAGTGGGGCTGGCTGGCAGCTGGTGTGAGCTTTCGTGAGCTGCCGTGAGCCGCAGTGAGTGGCCGTCCAATGGCCGGTGAGTGACTGCCTTACCCAGGAAGAGCGCAATAATAATACTAACATGGGCCAGTGAAGCGATGTCCTCCACAGCTAGACTGAAGAACAAAAGGACAGTCTGTTCCCCTTCCCCGATTCCCCAACACTGCTCCCCTCCCCCAATTCCCCAATAAAATCTTTTTTTAAAAAAAGATGGTATTAATCCAGACTAAACTGTTATAAATTAAGATGTCAATTGTAATCCTCAGGACAACTAATAGTAAAATAATTATATAAAACAGACAGCAAAATGAGTCATAAACCCTATCTTACTGGTAATTCACTAACTATAAATGGATAAAACAGTCCAAACAAAAGGCAGAGATTGGCAGAATGGAATAAAGAAACATGATCCAACTATAGGCTGTCTACAATGGGCACACTTTACATGCCAAGTTACAAACAGGTTGATAGTAAAAGGACAGAAAAAGATCTACTATGCAAAAGGTAATCAAGCTGAAGTGGCTATCCTATTATTAGACAAAATATACTTTTAGACAAAAATTGTTATTAGAGACAAAGAAGGACGTTTTTGTTTTTTATTGTGGTAAAAGACACAGAACATAAAATTTACCACCTTACTCATTTTTAAGTGTACAGTTCAGAAGTGTTAAGTATATTCACATTATTATGAAACAGATCTCCAGAACTTTTTCATCTTGCAAAACTGAAACTCTGTACCCATTGAACAACTCTCCTTTCCACTCTCTGGAGCCCTTGGTAACCACCATTCTACTTTCTGCTTCTGTGAATGTGACTGCTTTAGATACCTGATATATGTGGAATCATACAGGTCTTTTCCTTGTTGTCACTGGCTTATTTCACATAGCATGTCCTCAGGCTTCATCCATGTTGCAGCATGTGACAGGATTTCCATCCTTTTTAAGGCTGAATTATTATTCCATTTATGTATTTGCCGTATTTTTATCCATTCATCCATCGAACATTTGGGTTGCTTCCATCTCTAAGCTATTGTGAATGGTGCTGCCATGAACATGGGCTTGCAAATCATCTCTCTTCAATATCCTGCTTTCAATTCTTTTGGAAATATACCCAGAAGTAGAATTGTTGGATCATGTGGTAGTTCTATTTTTATTTTTTTTAAGATTTCTATACTGTTTTCCATAGCAGTTGCACCATCTTATAATCCGATTAATAGTGCAAAAGGGTTCCAATTTCTCCACATCTTCACCAACACTTGTTATTTTGTTTTTTTGATAGTAGCCATCCTGATATGTGTGAGGTGACAAAGGACATTTTATAAAGATAAATGAGTCAATTCATCAATAAGATATAATAATAAAAACTTATTTGTGTCAACAATACATGAAGCCCCAAAGTACATGAAGCAAAAAGTGACAGAACCAAAGGGAGAAATAGACAATTCAACAATAGTAGTTGGAGACTTTAATACCCTGATTTCAATAATAGATAGAACTAATCGGAAGATCAACACAGAAACAGAAGACTTGAACAACGCTAAAGCCAACCAGAACTCAGAGACATCAATAAAACACTTGCCCCAACTGTAGCAGAACACATGTTCTTCTTGAGTGCACATGAACATTCTCTAGGACAGACCATATGTTGGGCCATAAAATAAGCCTCAATAATTTAAAAAGATTGAAATCATAGGCGTTCTCAGGTCAAAAAAGAATGAAAACAGAAATCAATAACAACAAGAAAAGCAGTAAATCTTTTTTTTTTTTTAGCTGAGCCATCTGCCATCTGTTGGCAGCTCAGCGGCAGCGCAGCTCGGGCCGGGAATCGAACCAGAGAACCTGTTGCTCAGAGCTCGCACTCCTGAGCGAGCTCTTAACCAACTGAACCACTCGGCTGGCCCCCCAGTAAATCTTCTTGACCTTGGATTGGGTGATGTCTTCTTAATTATACAAAAAGCATAAACAACAAGAGAAAAAAAATAGATAAATTGGACTTGATCAAAATTAATAACATTGTGCTTCAATGGACACCATCAAGATAGTGAAAAGACAGCCCACAAACTAGTAGAAAATATTTGCAAAGCATATATTTGATAAGGGACTTGTATCTAGAATATATGAAGGGCTCTTACAACTCTATAATAAAAAGACAACCCAATTTCTAAAATGGGCAAAAGATCTGACATTTGTCTAAATTACACATACAAATGGCCAATAAGCACATGCAAAGATGTTTAACATCACTAGCCACCAGGGAAATGAAACCGAAAACCACAGTGAGACATCACTTCATACTCACTAGGACAACTTAATCAAAAAGGACAACAGCATTTGTTTGTGCAATGTGGGGTGACCGGAACCATCACACATTTCACTGCTGGGGGCACGTAACATGAGCAGCTGGCTCCGGAAAACAGTCTGGCAGGTCCACAAAAGGTTAAACAGAATTACCACACAACCTCGCAGTCCTTCTGGTAGCTATTACCCTAGAGGATAGAAAACACATATCCAGAGAAACTTGGACGCAAATAATCACAGCATTATTCATAACCGCCCCAAAGTAAAAACCACTGAAATGTCCATCAGCTGATGAATGGATTAACACAAGGTGGTATACCTACACAAGAGAATATTACTCAACAATAGAAAGGAATGAACTTACGTATGCTACAATATGATGAACCTTGAAAAGATTATGCGAAGTAAAAGCAGCCAGTCATAGAAGACCGCGTTGCTACCTGAGTCCAATTATATGAAATGTCCAGAAAAGGCCAATCAACAAAGTTAGAAGGTAGATTAGCAGTTGCCTAGGGCTGAGGTCTGTGGAAAGAAATGGGAGTGACGACAAATGGGCATGAGCTTCTCTGGAGTGATGACAATGTTCTAAGTCAATGGGGGTGATGGCTGCATAACTGTGAGTGCTAAAAATCATTGACTTGTACACTTAAATGGGTGAATGACATCTCTATAGAACTGTTACATTAAAAAAGAAAAAAAAACAGCCTAAGCACACTACCTTCTTTGTAAATTTAATAAACAAATAGGTATGCATTTTCCCTACTGTAGAAATATTAACAGAACAAACGGCACCTAAGGACTTTCCTGTGATTCTCAAACTTTTAAAGAACAACAACAAAAAAGCAAAATTCCCACAAATATTATGTTGGGATCAAAGAGGTCAATGTTTATTCTGAAGGTTTACCGCCAAACTTCACGTCATCTGACGTAGACAAGGGAGGCTTAAAACTGTTGTCAGGATCTGCTTCTCAGTATAATTTTACAGTTGAACCACATAGCCTCTTGCTAGGAGTGTGTGACTATACGTGAAAAAACGCTTGCTTTACAAAACTCAATGTAGGACTGTATTCGGTTTGATTGCGTTTTTACCATGCAGGGGCGATTCTTCATCAGCAAACAGATGCGGTTCTATTTCTTTCAAGGAACTTCTACCTTCAAGTCGGGCAAGGAGCTTCAAAAGGAAAAAAAGAGAGAGAAGGAAATGTCATTATCTATAATGATAAAATCCTAGAAATCTACATTCATACAATTTTCCAAAAGTCTATAAAAAAGACTTTTCATAATTTCTCCAAGGATTTGGAGGAAATGATGAAATAGGAAATATAATTTAGGAGAAAGGCTGTACTCGTGTCTTCAGGGAAGCTTTCTTTTTTTGTTTACATACCAAACACTGATGGCATAAAGTGAGTTCTGCCCTCAAAGGAGCTGATGGTGTAATCTGGGATATAGGACCAACTGCTAATTGCAAAGTATTTACCTTCCTTATGCGTTATAATTACCTTTCTCACTATACTTATTAAACCTGTTACACAGGTATCAGCTTTTAAATGCTGGCCCATTTATAACGTCAGCTACGTATCTAGTAGGGGGATGGGACAACGGAGAAACGTAGAGAAACGCTTCCTTGAGGAGCTCCTACCTGGACTGGTTAGGTAAACGGGGCATAGACCCCACATCGGCCAGGTGGGATAACATCAGCCAGGGTGCAGAGGTAGGTTATCAATGGCACCATGTGTAGGTAAACTATAAGCAGGCTTGCATTGCTAGAGCTTGTAGCGGGAAACCGGCAGAAGTCGATGACAGAAGGTCTCAGACGCCATGTGTGGGAGCCTGCTCTCCAGCTTATAGACAAGAGCAAGGGGGTTTTAAGCTATGCAGTGAGAAGCGGTCTAGACAGTTCAGATGTGACAACTGGGACTCCGGAGCCAGACCCGCAAGGTCAGTTTTCTGGGCCCCAGGTTCTCATCAGTAAAGTCAGGCTAACAAAGAGTATCTTCCTCACAAGGGTGCTGAGGGTGCCATATGTGGAGAGTGCTTAGGACGATGTAATATGAGCTATTATTACCGGAATTTCACATAGATCATCTTGGGGGCTAGCAGAGGCCGATCTGAGAGGACAACCAGACACGGAGAGAAGGCTGGAGCCTGTCAAGGAATCTGGGGGGAGAGCCTGCACCCAGTCGGAGGTTAGGACGACAGCAGGCCAAGCTCGGTGACTGACTCAAATGTCAGGGAGGGAAACACAATCAAAGCTGACTCTTGGGCCGGCCGAGTGGC